TTTAGGGTTTAGGGGCTGGGATTGGGTGGTCCTTACATCGGGGCTCCTGTTTTTCAACCCTTCATGATGGGAGACGGCCTGCTCAAAATGTACATCTTGGGGCTGAAGTCTACAACGCAGAACTGACTAGCAACTTTACCAGTTGGGTGTAGGAACGGGGCCCATGCGAGTTGTACTCCCTTCGGCACTTTGAACCCACCGGGCAGCACGTCATCGGCATACGCGATCTTTGAATCTATGGGTACAGGCGGCCACAGGCGCAAAGCTTCATAGACCACTCCATGCCTGGGTTGCTCTTAAGGGAGTCAACTTCAGTTACCATAACGGAGGGAACCATATGAATTACTGTAGAAATACCGATTATGGTAAGTTACTTTAGGTTCCTTAACAGCAACCGAGATGCAGATATGGCATCTCATTGTGCGACAAAGTCTTGAGGTCCAGTGGGGTGCCTTCAGCGCAGAAACCCCTGCAGCTTCAATCAGATCAAGGTTGCAAGCGAAAGGTATCAACAAGCTGTGGCAAACAGATGTTGCCAGCTCCCTGTTGTAGCCTGGACTTGCAAACCTTAAACAGAGCTCTGCCACTATTCACTATGGTTTCATACATACATCTGCACCTAATCTTGATGTGAGCATTCGCAATTGCATGAGGCAACCGTCATTAAATGTCTGTAGTGTACCGCAGTTCATGGTGGCAAGCTGCCTGCCGGTGACTTCTTGTCGATCTCATCATGTAGTCGCTTTTGGATATCTGGGCTCTTGGCAATCTCATAGAACATCCAGGACCTAAGAGCAAGGAAAGTGAGCAGATGCTATGAAAACCCTCGGAGACTCGAGATGTTGCGTTGCCAAACCTGAGGCAGGAACAGCAAGCAAGCCGTCGTATCTCTGCCAGCTATGATGAGATTCAAGACCATGTCCTTTACAAAGCTTGTCGTGAATTTCAGCTCCTTCTGGGCCTGCAGAAACCTAAGAGTCATGGGTAAGATTTAGGGTTTTGGCTTCTTTTCGGTTTAGAGTTTAGTTAAGGGGAAGTCGCATTTGCACAGCACAGCTTTTCCATTGTCTCTCCCAGGAGCAGGGCAAGTAAGTCACGACGGGACTCGAATTGCGGATCAGCCAAACATTCACGCACTAATCCTTGGCTTCTGTAAGGCTCTGTAGAGGGATCCAAATTCCATAAACCTTAGTCCCTCTATACCCCTAGGCAATCCCCATATTACCCCCCATAACCTACTGGGGTCCCCGTTAAGGGTCCCTCCTAAAGCCCTAGAAGGAATGAGCCGCGAAACTGATACCTCCATGTGACAGCATACTCAGCTGCTGCTTGTGTCAGTATGAGGTATTGCTGTAGTTGTAGCCATAGTCATTTTAACACCTGCAAAAAGAATTACATGTAACTGTCTTGTCTCCAGTCGAGCTGATCAAAACTCAGATGACTTTGGCAATTCTTCTCTTAAAGATACACCTGTAAAATCCGTACCAGAGATCCCCAGTACTCCCTTGTACTCTCCATTCTTTCTTAGGGTTGCCTCTCTTGGGAAGCCCCCAACCATCGGATCGTAGACTTGGAGCCTGAACAATTGCCAATATCATGTTGAGGTCTACTTCAGGTAACCTTTGCCATAAATTACACAAGGAGTTTAAGACCACAATCCCTATCAACCCCTGTACCACCGCAGTTTCCATTTCATTTTGGTGTCTTTTCCATTTGCTTCTCGGTTCTTGGTCCCATACAGCCTAGGCCCTAAACCCTCAAGCCTAAACCTCAATCCCTAAACCCTAAACCCTAAACCCTAAACCCTAAATCCCTAAACTTTAATACCTAAACCCTAAACCCTAAATCCCTAAACTAAACCCTTAATCCTAAACCTTAGTGAGGCCAGAATCTATCGGCCTCCTCGTTGATCTTCCGACGCTCCGCACGGAATTCTCGGTGGGTCGCAGAAGAAGCATCCCAAAGCATCCTGGCAAGTCCTCAACACGGTTTAGGGTTTAGGGTTTAGGGTTTAGGGTTTGGGGTCTAAGGCTTGAGGTTTAGGTTTAAGGTTTAGGGCTTAGGGTTTAGGATTTGGTCTTAGGGTGTAGGATTGAGGGCTTAGGTTTTAGGATTTGGGTTTAGGGTATAGGGTTCAGGATTTAGGGTCTAGGGTTTATGATTGCGGGAAACATCAAGTTTACCAAAATTCTGAATTCTATCTAAACCTGACTGCAAAAACCCGTACCCCTAAACCGAAACATTCCCTTCGGAGAGGAGCGGCCCCCGAACTTTTCTCCGGGAACCGCAAGACTATACAGAGAAGGCAGCATGGAATTTTGATTAGGTTCCGCTATGACATCAAAAAAAGGTGACCGAAATCTTTGGTGCAGACTCCGGAAACGCCTCCAAAGGGCCAAGGCAAAAAAGTGTCAGAAAAAAGGTGGAAGGCGAAAGACTGAAAGATGTGCACACGCACCAGGGACTGCGCATTGTCAAATGCCTGTCCATACCTGGATCATGGATTGCTTGCCCCTAACCGCAGAACCTCTTCCGCCCCGATAATAAATGCTGGAAAATTGCTTGTTGCGGGAAAGGTTTCTGGCTACAAGTATTGAGGACAATAACAGCACCATAGCCAAGTCTTCATCGCGTTCCATTGCACTTGAAGATGCCTAGAACTCACTAACAAAGCCCGAAAGAACCCAAAACCTTCAACCCTAAACCTTAAACGCTAAATTCTAACAATCAAGACACTTGTTCACGGTGCCCATCACGGTATTGCTATCTTCGCCGAAGAAGATTTTCTGAATGCTGTCCATTGTAAAGTTGAAAAAGCCTGGGTTAGGACTAATGTAGAAGCCTGAATGATTAGGGACTAAAGGGGTATATAGGGTCATATCGGGGCATATCGGAGTTAGGGATTAGGGTCTAGGGTTCGGGTTTAGGGATTAG